CCCCAAAACCCCAAAACCCCAAAACCCCAAAACCCCAAAACCCCAAAACCCCGAATATATAAATCATTATTGAATTATATTAAGCCTTGAGTTGATCGTCAAATGGAATCAGATTACTTAGATCATCAAAATCCAGGTCATTGGATGTATTGTTCCTCTGTAACTGGTCTGAGAGGTTACAATCCTCTTCTCCAGTTGAAATTTCAGGTTTTAGAAGTGCTGCCTCTATTCTGGAAGCTAGTCTAACGGGTTTTAGGCATCCGAGGTCGCTGTCATTTCCTGATAGAGACTCTCGGAGGAAAACATTCCCAACATCACTTTTGTAGAGAGATAATGTTGGACTTACATAATTAAGCTTAGCAATAGTGGTGAATGGCCTCCAAAGTTTAACCCCATTGGTAACTTGATAATCTGACCTTACACGAGAGATTGGGTGGTGACCATCGATCATTCCTCCAACTAAGGTTTCATGGAACTTAGCCCTACTATTTCTGAGGTTGAGCTTATTTAATATTGTCCTTGCTGACTGGCTCTAGCTTTATATCTTCCTTAGTTGCAGTGTTGGCGATACTGCTATGCCTGATTGCTTCTCCAATACTGAGTGAGTTCCTATTTCTATAGCTGTTGTTTTTCTCAACAGAGTTGACATAAGTTTCCATAATATGGCTTTTAATAAGAGAATGCTTGGAGAACTTCTTAGGGAAGCCAGGTCTCGAGCCCTCACTGCAGCTCATGTCCTTATAATCCTCTTCAGAGCTCTCGGAGGTTTGCTTCGAACTTCCAACAATACAGTCTGCCTTAGAGACGGGTACAACGTATAGGTCCTTGTTAGATTTTTCCTTTAAGATTTCTAGGTTTTTGGTCCTATACCCAGTCGTTAAGATGTCTTACTTCTTCATGTTTTGTTTGAGGGAATGGTACAGCTTGCTGCTATTAGGGTCTTTCCTGAAGGAAAGAACCTTTAGCCTCTTTTTGGGTTTACTGTAAAAGGATTTTCTGAAGAGTTTTAGAGCAAACTTACGAATTCAAATCTTTCATTTTCTTCTTGCAAGGTGCCAATTTTTGGGTTATAAGCGATTTGATGGATGTCTTGTTCAAATCTCTTCTCAATTTCTGGTTATTTACTACGGCTACCTTTCGTTTTCTTGGGATTGAATTTTCCTATAAATTTTAGAGCAATTATCCCACTTGTAAAGTTTAGCCGTGTATTGCCAATATCGTTTGTTCCAACAGAAGTTTTCAAGTTTGACTGGCATTTCTTGTGTAGCTTTAGGCCAGAATTTTTCTAAAAGGTTAGAGCTGTCGGTAACAGATTTTATCCCTTAAATAACTCTAGCTTACTCTTTCAGCCTCGATGTTCTCTTTGAACGTAAATCTGATGTGTTTGCTATAAAATTTGGTTATAAACAGGAAAAGAAGGAATCAAAGACTAGATTTTAGCAACCAGCTTTGGAGGATTTTGGGTTACCGTTGGCCATTAAGTTGATTTCAAGACTTACCCTGGGTATGTTGATGCGAGAGATGATTTCGTAGTAGGGATTGAGGTATTTCCTAACTCTGTCAGTTTGGAATCGGAAATTTCTTGAACCTTCCTCTCCTCCTGCAATGCAGGCCTTGGAGGCTGAAAGTAGGTATTATAGCCATTAACGGTATTTCTTGTGATAGGAATGTCGTCTTCACAGTAAATTAGAGCCCATTCATCAATAACTTCGATTGTCTCTATTTCTCCTTTATGTGGGATAATTTCTGTTGAATTTCAGTTGTGATTTCGGTTGAATTCATGTATGTCGGCTCTAAATTACAATTAGTCATTAATTATCCCAAATTTGAGCCTTGAAATGCCATGACTTATAAGGTCGGGCTGGCTTTGTAAAGTTCATGTTCTCCAAGATGGTGATTGGCCAGAATAATCTAACCCAAAAAAGACAAATATTTGCCCAAAAGCCATGTCTTACTGGGTGGTAGTGGTGTTATAAGGTTTATTCCGGTTTTGGCTCGAGAGGTGGATTTCCCCTCGAGTTGTTCTGCCATTTTTCATATTTTTTATCTCCATTAGGAATATATTCAATATATTTTTAATAGTCTGGGGTTTTGGGGTTTTGGGGTTTTGGGGTTTTGGGG